AAGCCCGCAGTGAGCTTGGTATTTGTAGGCATGTCAATGCCTACAAACGCACCGCTTGACATGAGCGTCGTTCCCCTCTTAACAGCCTTGGTTGTGATAGCCGCGATGCCGAAACGCGTTGACGCCCAGGACGACGACCACGCCATTATGGGTTGCAGGGATTAGAGGTTGTTGATTTTACCGCGGACATCGTGATTCTCGTGGTCACGCTACTAGGGACGCGTACGAATGTCAAACTAGTAGAGGTCCACTGCCTAGACGCTGATTCACGCGATCTTATTGCTCGTCGCGAGCCTTACGTTCAGTTTTGGCGTTGGTGTGTATGATGTTCACGGTGCCGAAGGCGAGGGCGATTGAAGTTGGACTCATTAGTATCGATAATTCAACCCACAATAAGCTAGTGCTTGTCACGCCAAACGTTCGTGGTCCAAGCCGCATGCGGTATTAAATGAGTCGAAACGCCAGGACCAGTCAACACGTCGGTATTATGGACATGAGCTTTAAAATAATTAAAGATAGCTTATGGCTACGAATATAAAACACGTTAAAACATTGTAGTGTTGTCGGGTCAATGAGTGCAGCCATTGTGCGACCACAACGAATTTAAACGCTATCTTCGCATAGTCAGGTCAATCGCGATCTGGCTACTATTGTCAAAAACTACAAGTCAAAAACTAGAAGTCAAACGGATAGCGAATTTATGATAGCATGAGTGAATTTGAACAGCTACTGATTACGCTACGATTGGAAAACAAAATTTGTTGCTAGTATAAGTACGTTTTCCAGGGCTTGTTGTAGAGCCTATCAGAAGCACAAACTTTACCGCGTCCGCGCCGATAGAACTGCTTCGGCACAAGCACCGTGCGTGTCATTTCGTCAGACCGTTTCGCCATCCACGCTGGTGACCGGTAGTAGCTGCACTTAGAGCAATGGCACTTCATCCACTGCGCAAGCTCGATATTATTAGCCATACAGCTAACCAAACCCATGGCCATGTTAAAAATGAGCGTGACATTGTAGTTTCTTTCCTTTTTGAAGCCTTCGCTGCCGTATTGGTCGAGAGTTTCGGAGCTCACGGTCTCGCCAGATCTCATTCTTTCGTGGCGGCTTATGTGAACATCCACGATCGCTCGAATATGGTCAACAGAGGCGTGAAGAAACGCGAGGTGATCCTTGAAGTAATCGTATGCGATCTAAATCAACCGAACCAAATGCAAGTGAGCAATATGAAAATTAATAGTACAAAGCTTGATAAGTTACCTCAGATATGTGCGGGGATGTTTGAAACCATTGCATTATCATCGCAAATTCGTGACGAGATCTTTATTTACCGAGTTTGTAAGATAGATAGATAGATAGATAACATTCATCTCCTTTACATGAAGCGCAATTACAAAATCATCGATTTCACTTGACGAGCCAAAGCCGGGTTCAAATTTCTAGCCGAATAGCCAAG